GCCTTTTCACCTTCAAAGTACTCTCCATTACACTTACTACATTTGTCAAATCTGCAATTCCATTCTTGGAAACATTTTTCAAACTCATCTGTTTGGGTGGCTGACAGACCTCCCTTGTTTTTTTCTTCACCTCTTCTATCATCAAATCACTGTCCTTTCATGTCCCTCTTCATGCATGGAAACAAAAAGAAGTCTCATGGAGCGAGGTCAGGTGAATAAGGTGTGTGGTGCAAGAAGGACATGCTGGGTTTGCCAAAAACTAGTGCACTGAGATGGCTGTGTGATCAGATACATTGTCGTGGTGGCAAAACCAGTCCCCCATCTACCACAAATCAGGCCTTTTTTGTCACACACTGTTACACAGTCTTTTCAGAACCTCTAAATAGAAAGCTTGACTAACAGTCTGACCTGGTGGAACGAACTTCAAATGCATTATCCCCCTTCCATAAACAAATGAGCATCATCTTGATCTTTGACTTCACTTGACAAGCTTTTGGGGGGCGAGGTGACAATGGCGTCTTCCACTGGCTTGATTGATGTTTGCCTTCAGAATTGTAAGAATAGCACCATGTCTCGTCCCCAGTAATGACTTCGGGGAAAAAAGTCTGAGTTGCTTCGGAGCTCTTCTTTCAGAGCATGTTTCCACTTGACATTTTTCCGGGTCAGTCAGAACCCAAGGCACAGATTTCACAACAACCCTTCTCATTCCCAAGTCTTCCATTAAAACTCGCTGAACCGAGCTGCAAGATTGGCCAGACAACTTCCCATCTCTTCAATGGTTCGTCATTGGTCTTTGAGCACAAGTGCATGAATTTTGTCACGTTTTTATCTTTTCGGGAAGTTGGCAGATGTCCAGAATGAGGTTTGTTATCAGCATTTCACCTTTTTTAAAATGAGAAACCACTCATACACTTGAGCTTTTCACGTAGTGCTATCCTTGTAAGCTGTGTTCAACATCACAACAGTTTCTGTGGCATTTTTCCTGAGCAGGAAACAAAATTTCATAGCTGCATGCTGTCCTCTTAAATTGGCCATCGCAAAAAATAAAGTTCGAGCAAAACTGCTTTTATGAAAAAATTCACTCTGATCAAAGAAAACCTTCCCAGGCGACACCACTGGGTGCGCTAACTCAGAGAGAGTTGTCCAATGCTCGCCTAACAGGAAAAATGCATACTATGAAATCTACACTCCGCTCAGTGCAATTCGGTTTTGGGGGGTATCCCCTCGTATATGAACAAGAGCATGGCATCAGTATTATAGAAAGACTTATTTATTGATAACCTAGGATATGCAGATGACGTCTTGCTGCAAGTAAAGATTTCAACCACTTACTGATGAAGATCAATGACTGCAGCTTTCAATGTGGATTGCAATTCAATGTGGGGAAAAAAGAAAAATCTCAGTTGGATCAATAGATGTCATGATAAATGGAGTGAAAATTAAAGTTGTCAAGGATTTCATTTTACTTTGAACCACAATCAACACTCATGGAAGCAACAGTCAATAAATCAAGCAGCATATTGCATTGGTCAGAGGTCAGATATGCTACACAAGACTTCTTTAAAGTTTTTAAAGAGCAAAAATGCCACTTTGATGACTATGGTACCCTTGCCCGAGTCATGGTCTTTTAAGTTACATCGCAGGCATGTGAAAGCTAAATGAGGAAGATTGCAAAAGAATTGATGCATATTGGCAAAGAGTATTCAAAGTACCCAAAACTGTCCCCCCCCAAGAAAAAAAACCAAACAAGTCTGTCTTCGAATAAATATAGCCAGGATGCTCCTAAGAAGTGAAGATGGCAAGACATTGTCTCACCTACTTTGTCGTATTATCAAGAGAGACCAGTCCCTGGAAAAGGACATCATGCTTGGTGGAGTAGAAGGTCAGTGAAAAAGATAAAGGCCCTAAACAATGGTTTGATACAGTGAGTACAACACTGGACTCAGACAGCAGTTATGAGGATGGTGTAGGGTGAGAAAGTATTTCATTCTGTGTTACATAGGGTCAAAATGAGTCAGAACCCACTCAACTGCACTTGACAAAGACAGTTCCTGTCATATGTGTTCTTGTTGGTCATGTGTTCTATTATAGAAAGTAGACTATAGAATTCTCTGGTCATTATTGACTCTCCACGTGCAGAGAAATCTGGCACTTAGAGTTCTTGAGTCTTCAGTCTCCATGGCACATGTTCACTGAATGTTCTTTGGCTCTACCCATTCCCTGCCTAAAACCCGTAGGTCGGCTAAGTAGGTGCAGAGTCTTCCCTCTGCTTTCCCATATTGAAAATGCTACTGCCGTTGTCACTTTTCTTATTGTCTTTGGCATTGTGGATTCTAAACCCTGGTTTGTTGTTGTTGTTATTCTTTAATGTTACTTTTATTTGGCTTCTGGAAAGAGTGAAACTCAATGCATGTGTTTTAGGACTTAATCTTTAATGGGAAGTTTTAAAGATCATGATATTTTTACTACATAGTGCTGGGTATTTTTACTACATAGTGCTGGGTAGTGTGAGTACTTTCCTGAAGACATAACATGCTTGGTTCTGACTGCAGATATTAAAAACAAACTTACAAGTTCCCGGCTCAGTGCTCTCAGGGAAACAAAGGTATTAAGAAATGATCCTTTTCTCCAGAAGCTAACTCTGAGGGAAGATGGAATATGCAGACTTAGTATTATAGCACAGAAAAGCAATGAGCAATAAAAACAGCTTTTTCTTGAAAGCCCACTAAACGTCAGATGGACACTTTATATACAATAATTGATTCAGTTTAATAATCTGATAATGGGGGTTTTATTCTTCCCAATTTATAGGTGAGGCATTGGCTTATAAGGGCCAGCAGCTAGTATATGAAGAAAAGAGGTTTGAAGCCACATTGCCTGGGCCTGAAGCTCTACTGTGCGAGGTTACCGTAGGAAAAGCACAGTGAAGGGCCGAGACTATACAGCAGAGGCTCTCAACCTTCCTAGTGCCACGACCCTTTCATACAGTTCCTCCTGTTGTAGTGACCCCTAACCATAGCATTATTACCGTTGCTTCTTCATAACTAATTTTGCTACTGTTATGAATCATAATGTAAATATCTGATATGCAAGATGTATTAGGCGACCCCTGTGAAAGGGTCGTTGGACCCCCAAAGGGGTGGCAATCCACAGGTTGAGAACCGCTGCTCTAGAGGAATGTAGCAGGAGAGGTTTGCTTCTTACCTGGGTTCAGGGAAGGCTTCAATGTAGGAGGTATCCCAGCTCGTCCTTGTAGGATAGATAAAAATTTGAGTTTAGATTTGAGGAGGAAGTGGGGTGTTCTTTACTAAAAAGTGATGAGGAAGTACTGCAAGGGATGTTCAGGGAGTGATAAGTAACCCGGGGAGGCTTCGTTATTTTTACTGCTGAGGTTTGGTGTGTTTGCATTTGAATATGTTAGAAATACTACTTCAAATAGGCCTATGAGGGCAATGGTAAGACCATTGTTTTAGTGGTTTCTAACAAACAAGGTTATCTGTATTGTATATATAATGTGTGCTTAATTTAAAATGATTGAAGTTACAGATAATGGATTAATTACCATAAAGCTGGAGAGTTCATTTACAATTTAAGCAGGCAAATGGTTGTATTCCATTGAAATGAAAACAGTATAATATTAAAACTTCAACAATACTCATATTCACTATGAAGAGAAAACTACTGCAATAATATCCTTCCATTTTTCTATTAGATTAGCAAAAATAAAAGAAAATAACCATTTATACTAGCAAAGATATGGGAAGCAGGGACTCTTGTATATTGTTGATGGTAGTATAAATAAGACAGCTCATTTGTCCTGATAAAGAATAATCTACATATTTTACATTCAGGGAGAGAAAGGTATAGAACAGTATATCTAACATATTTGTTTTACAAAAAGATGGGAGTGGGTAGGGACTTATACACAGCTTTGTCTAAGACATTTCATTAGCACTTAGGCTTAGTTCTATCCTTTACGCCTTTTATACCACTATAATTGCTTCCCTTTTTTATCTTAAACGTGTATTTTTCTCCAGACCTTTAAGGTAGAGTTGGCCAGATCAGTTCATCTCTAATTCCTGTTTACTCCCTTTGAAACTCACTTTTCTTCCCAGGAGTTATTCCAGTGCCCTGCGTCTTCAGGTAGACTCTGACCCATCTGGTGAATTCCCCACTTGGCTTGCTTCACCTATATGGTCATGAGAATTCGAACACTCCCTGGTTCTCTTCTGATCTGTTTCTCTTCAAGGCTTGATAATGGATGGCCTTTACACACTGCCCTGGATTTATTGATTGTCTAGTCTATCCCTGCTACAAAATGTTTTCCTTCTGCTTAAAACTGCCTATTGCGTATGTGCATGTGTGCATACATACATGTACTTATAGTTTACACAGGAACCTGGGAACTGGTATTGATTATTAATATGATTAAATAGTAGAATAACTAAAATCTCATAAATGGAATGTAATATAATTCTGTAATGTATATTGTATATATGAGTAAACAATGACTATATCAATGAAGTAGATTAATTATGCACATTTACAGGTCTTAAGAGAAATATTATCTTTCATTTATTTTACACTTGGCAGTTTATATAACTTTTCTTCATCTTTATAACAGCCCTGTTAGGTTACTGCTTCTCATCTGCGTATTGTAGACAATAACAAAAAACACAAATAAGGAACTAAGATTCAGAATGTTTAGGTGACCTCCCTAAGTTCCACAGGTAGTACTTGAATTCCTCTAGTGAAGTTTCCACTGTGCCTCAGGTCAGGATGTGCCAAGGGACCTTCAACTTTTTGTACTTCAACTAAACATAATTACCAACTTTCCCCTTAATTTTTTTTTCCCCTTAATTTTTATGGTATACCTATGGCACTAGTCAGTCAACCTACCAGTACATCAGTGGACCTCAGGCTTTACAAAATACAAACCAAATAAAATGGACTTGTTCTAGCCTCAGAAACTTACTTGTATCTTCTTTCGATTATTCCAGGAAGAGTTGCAGGCCAACATGGACCTCATTCAAACCTACAGATTGCATATTGCCCAAGATATCAACCAGGAAAACCTACAGCTCTTCCTCAGTTCTTATAATGGGTATGAGTCTATCCTATTTCTTCACTTAAATATAGATCAGGGCTAAAAAGATTATCAACAATTAAAGAATAAAGGAAGAAAAATTTAAAAAGAATAAAGAACGGAGAAATAAACGATTCTTCCAGTGTCATGAGAAAGGATTGTTGTAGTGCTATTTCCTCACAGTGACAGATATGAAATAGCTTTCAAGAATAAAGAATGAGCTAGATACAGTTTCTGGCATGCTCAAATACCAATTGCTATTTTAAGATGTTTTGAAATAGAAGGTGCCTAAGTTATATACACATAAGTAAAATGCTGAGGAAAATACATACAAGGAAAGCAAAGGAAAACAGGTTTGGGCCTGCTTTTTAGTTTCTCCATGCTGATCTGTCATCAGGTAGAAAGAGTACATGAACACTATAAATTATTTTTGTTTGTGTGCCTGTCATTGAGAAAGCCCAAGATTCTGATCTTGGGACTTGACTTTGAAGTAAAAATGTCAGCTCCTTCTAGCTTGTACTCTTGGGAACAAGTAGAGGAAATAGACCAGCTATACTTTACCCAAAATGTCACAGCCAGCCTCTGATCCTGGTCTCTAACTTTCCTCTAACCAAGCCAAACCAAACCCACTGCCATCTATCTAGCAGCTCTATAGAGCAGATTATAAACTACTCCTTTGGGTTCTGAGACAGTCAGTCTTTATGGGAACAAATAGCCTCATCTTTCTTCTGTGGAGCAGCTGATGGGTGTGAACCATAGAGATTGTAATTAGCAGTTTAGTGCTTAACTCACTGTGCCACCAGAACTTCTTCCTATGACTGGTTCCTTATTTTTAATTAATTTATTAAATGACAAACCAGAAAGATTTATTAAATAATAGGCTAACAAATGTGCTTAACACAATGGAAGTATGCATGCATTGTGATAAGAGTTGTACAAGCCACCAATAAAATGATTTTTTAAAAAATAGGCTAAACTTTGTTAGTGACAAGAAAATTGTTCACTCCAAAAAAATATAAGTCCCATAAAATAGTTGGAAAATTAAGCCCTTAAGACTTGAGGACTTCAAGAGCATTCCTTTTTTTAATAAAAATAACATGCATTGCTATGGTTTTATCTAAAAACAGTATGTCTCCCCACTCCCTCATGAACCCTTGATAATTTATAAATTATTAGCGGGGAGGGAGGGGGAAAAATGAGGAGCTGATGCCAGGGGCATAAGTGGAGAGCAGATGCTTTGAGAATGATGAGGGTGATGAATGTACAAATGTGCTTTACACAATTGATATATGTATGGATTGTGATAAGTGTATGAGCTCCCAATAAAATGATTAAAAATAAATCAATCAATAAAAACCGTATGGCTTATGCTTTATTTTCTAGACGCAGAGATCTCGAGATTGAAAGACCCTTGCTGGGCCAAAATGATAACACAAAAACATTAAAGTAAGTCCCTTCACTTCTCCATTGACTGACTGAATGTTGTGCTTCTGTGAGAGGCAATTCGTTGTACAGTAAAGTATGTGTGCTTGCTTGCTGATGGCATCTTCTCTTTTTGCTTGTACTTAGGTGTTGTACGTTATTGGTGGTAGGGGACAGTTCTCCTGCAGTTGAGGCTGTTGTAAGTATATCCTGTTGTTATGAAGATGAATGAGATGAAAATGTAAGGGATGTTTATAGCACACTGCTGACATACTAGAAACAGGAAATACGGTTGTTGTTAGCATTAGGGCCTGTTGAGTTGGTTCCAACTCACAGCAACCCTGTGTACAGCACAGGGAAACACGGTACAGTACTGAGTCGTCCTCACAGTGGTTCTTAGCTCTGAGCCCGTTGTTGCAGCCCCTGTGTCAGTCCGTCTCCTTGAGGGCCTTCCTCTTTTTGCTGCCCCTCCACTTTACCAGACATGATGTTTACCCTTCTCCAGGGACTGGTTTCTCCTGACAACAGTCACAGTGCATGAGCTAAAGTCTCATCATCTTGCCTCTAAGGAGCATTCTGGCCATCCTTCTTCCAAGACAAGTTTTGTCTGTTCTTTTGGCAGTCCATGGTACTTTCAATATTTTTTGCCAGCAACCATAATTCAAATGCATTATTCATCTTTGGTCTTCCTTATTGAACGTCCAACTTTCTTTTTTTTTTTAATCATTTTTTTGGGAGCTGGTACAACTCTTATCACAATACATACATACTTACATTGTAAGCACATTTGTACGTATGTTGCCATCATCATTTTCAAAACATTTTCTCTCTACTCGATCTCTTGGTAGAAGGGCTCATTTTCCCCTCCCTCCACCCTCCCTCCCTCGTGAATGTCCAACTTTCACATGCATAAGAGGCAATTGAAAATACCATGGTTTGGATTAAACACACCTTAGTCATACTAATTTTTGTTTTTTCTGATTGCACAGATCGGGTTTGTTCTTTGTTAAACATTTTCAAAAATTAATTTTTCATCAGTAACTTAGGTTTCATCAGAGAAATATGTGCTGCCTTCTAACCATGCACATTGGAAGGCTGTTGAAAACCTGTTTGTTCTTCTGTACCTCCTTCCCAAGCACACAAGTTAATAAAAGTTATGATGTACTCATTGTCAAAAATGAAAAACTAGGGTAGAGAAAGATGCATGATCCCATAGTTCAAAACAAACTATTGTTTTTTAACC